CCATGTGAGTTTTGCTCACCATAGATTCCATGTGGTAAGACCATTTAAATCGGTGTGGATATCCGCCCTTCAAATTCTTCACATTGGTTCGACTCTTTTGGTACCAGGCCTTGATTGCGGCTTGAGGGGTGCTTCATAAAAAAAACAGGGGAACCCGACAAATGGCTTGTTTCCTCTCGGCCTCCGGAGTATTCTTGGCGTTGAAGGCGGAAACCCCTTGTTCGCGGGGTTTCCCCCCTAAGATGAACAAAGGGATACAACGCCCCAGGACCTGCGCTCGTCTCAAAACAGGGAACGCCGAAATAATTTACCGGTGTCCTTCGGGTTTCCCCTGAAAAACCTTTAAAACAAAACGGATACCAGGGGTAACTCCTTAACAGACCAAAGACTTGAGCCACCCACGTGACTGGCCACCGTGCAGCTTCCATCCGATGGGTGGTTTGGATGTGGCTTGCTGGTGAAATGGAGGGGGGGGGGCTCCCATGCAAACCCTCTACAAGAACCAAGAAAAAACCCGTGCAAATCCAAATCCAAACCACCAACCTGATGATATACCTGGTGGTCTTTCTTCCTTTTGGTTTTTGTTTTGGCCCAACAAAATAGGCTCAGGTGATATCCCCAGCCCTCGTGGAACCCTTGAACCTTACCACAGCCCCGGACGCCGGAGCCTATCTGAGACCCCAAAGCTTTCAGAACCTGAGCGATGGCTCTCAAGTTTTTCGTCTCGCTGGAGACTCCCGGCTCTAAGGATGACATGCCGACTATGGCCACGCTGGAGGTATATGCCGAGTGCGCGAGGTCCACCACGTCCTGACCGCGAAAACAGGTTTAACTGGAGTGAGGTCCGTACCCAAGCAAAAAGCAAGGCGGAAATGGGTTTGTGTCTCGTTTTTTTTCCCCCCCCGCCCAAAAAAAAGGGTGAACGTGTCCTTTTGCTTGCTTGGAAAACCACGCCAAAAGGGTACCGGCTCCAAACAAAGATGCCACTTTACTTTAGAGAACCAAGGACCCAAATGACCAGTGGGGCCTAAACTACTTAGACTCTCTTAGAATGGGGTTGTGAGGGGGGACTTCAAAACCAAAGTCGCAGGAGTAACATGCTAAGAATCTAGCCCCTCAAAGCATGGGTTGCCAGTTAGATACCCCTGGGCCATCCAAACGCCGAGACTGAAACCGCATGATTGGATCAAACAGAAGCGGGGTGTCGAAAAAATCACCCATTCGGCGGTGGATCACAAATAGGGTGACCCCAAAATGGGGCAAGCCCTGGTAAATGGAACCAAGGACTAAAACCTGCGGTCCTATGCCCAGGTTTTATTTTGACCCATACCCATTTCAGTGTAAGCAAGACCAGTCCAGGAGAGTTCACATGAGACACGGACTCGCAGACTCGCAGCGCAGCCCGCCTCGGCAATGCTGCTGTCTCCTGAAGTGCCGGCGTCACTAGGCTGCCAAACCCGAGGGTTGGTTTCCACACGGCGGTAGGTTTTCACTCTTTTCGAACACGGCATACTCTAAGGGTCCTGAGAGGAAGGAGGGGGGGGGGGGAGGAGTGGGGGTCGGCATGCAAGCGGTCCTGGTACCAAGGCATCCACCGTGCTGTACGAGACCATCGCGAGGCCCTGAGCAACTCTCGGCAGAGCCAGCTGAGCCACAATCAAAACCCAGTACTAAAACGGTCTACCCAGACCCATGTAAAGAATTAAGAAGGTGGCCGAAACTATTTCTGGCTGGGACTGCCCCTTACTAACTACCCGGGTTTTGATTGTGGCTCAGCTGAGGTTTTCATCCCCTGCCGATTGCGCGGCCACCAGGAACCGTGAGCCATGGCCACTAGGAGCTGTGAGCCATGCACTAAGCCCCAAAGCACCTGAGCTTGGTTGCTTTCTGCTCCCCTGCTAAAAGTTGTTAACTTTTAATGGTTTAATGGAACACCCATTAGTTGGCAAAAAGTTGAAGCCCTAACATCCAAGCAACACAAAAACAAATTGCGGGGAGTGACTGAAATCAGGAGTAATTAGTCTAAAACTCAGAAATGATGATTGAGAGTAGCACCCCTGCAACCTAGCTAGAAGGAAGGCTGAAGTCGTCTACGCCAACGAAACATGTCAGTTGGAGGCGTTTCAGTTTGGACCCTCTGCTACGAGAGTTGGAGTTGTAACGTGCTTTCATCTGCCATGACCCCAGCAAAGCCCATGCACACTCCTTCTGCGGGCCATTGTCATGATCAATAGAAACCTTCACATTGGCTGTCTAAATCCGGTATTAAGTTGATGATCTTTTGCAGCAACCCCAACTAAAATACTTACAGAACTCTGATCGGTAGCTCCGAAAGGCTCCAACTTAGGCAAACTGTTTGGATACCCCTAGCTCAGTTTGGCTCCCGTCCAACAACTAGCTAATGATGTATCGCCAGTTACTTCCTCAACAATACCCCCCCAAAAAAAAACTAAACATCTCAATAATCGGATGGCTGGGAACCACTTTTCTAAACCATTGTTCTTTTCAACAACCAGATCGCTGGAAAGAATGGAAATGGAAGGTACCCCTAGAATAATCCCCGGACAAGGAATCAGGACGCCCCTCGCACAGGAGCCTTATCACCCACCGGGGCTTTGTTCCAATTTTTCAGAAAGAATCCCCTCTACATAAGGGGGAGGGTGGGGGGTCCCCAATTCCAGTAGAGAACCACCAATCAAAGAGAGAACAGCAGCAGTGCTGGGCTGCCAGCAGCGCCCACGGCAATTGCACGCAGCTTGGCCACCGGCTCCTGCAATCTTTCACTCAGCCCAGTGGCCATGGGGAAGAGAAAGAAACGGTATCCTTGTTTGGTCGGCTGCTTTTAGCCAAGTTGCCCAGGACCTGGACATAAAAAGCGATCACTATTGAAAGCCTTTGCTAGTGGCTGCCAAAAGGGGGGAAAAAAGAAACACCCAAAGGTGATTTACTAGTGCCTGCCCAAAACGGGAGAAGAAAAAACACCCAAAGGTCCTTTCAGGTGGGTTTTGAAATTACTCCTTCTCTCAAAGTGAAGCCAGGGCCGCCGGTTGAAACTGGCCGAGCGCATGGCTCTTGAGCTCCAGCTCTGGGGAGGATCTAAAAGCCAAAGGACACGTGTCGACCAACTCCCTTCCGTGGATTGGTCCTGGAAAACGTCACCAAACCGTTACTTGGTCTCTGACATGGTCCAAGCCCACGTTGGTACCTGAAGTTCCGAAACGGCACCAAGGACCACAAGGGCCCGAGGAACAGAAGGCGGCCTTTGGCTCGGAAGGCGGTCAGCCGTGTCCCATGTTCAGATCATTTATGTGGGTTGAATGGGACACCCTAAACCCTAAACCAACTAAAAGAAGGGCATGCCTGGGAACCAAGCAAGGAGAAGCTTCCCAAAACCCAGGGGGCTCGCATGGGCTGGCAAAATAATGTTCCTATGTCTCAAGCATAAGTTTCCCCGCAAAAACCAGGTCTTAGGGGGATGTTCTTAGGGGAAAGTCATTTTGACCACTACCCCTGTGAGACCTGCACGCTTAAACAAATGCATGAAACAAGATTCGCGCAGTCCTCGTCTGGGTCTCTTTCCTTGGCCAGTCAAAGAGAGAATACAATCAAGCACGGCGTTTGATGCTTCCGCAAAGTATCCGGCACTGTAGCAATCGGAACAGAGATGTCACGTCTCAACTCTGTGAGCTCCCAGCCTGTGCATCGGACTTTTCCTCTGTACCTCAGCCCATCCCTTCGATCGCCATCGATCCGATCGATCCCGGATCTAAGTAGAAGCCCCGGTTGTTTTTGAGGGCTGTCCAATTCCTTTTCGTGGGGGTTCAGCCCACTTTTGGAGGGAACACCCCTGTGAATAAGCAGGGGTTCTACTTTGATCCGACTTCAACGCATGCATACATCGCCTCACAGCTGAGGTCTTAACGGTTTGCCGGCGAAGCCACCGCTGTATTCACCCAGCCAGTCATGGCGCCAGCTGTTCTTTTTTTGGGGCGAAGCCAACAAGGAAATGCGGCAGCTTCATTAGCCTCTTGAAATACTCTGCTCGATGCTGTTTGAAACATCGTCCTCACTTTGTGGTGAATCTGCTCAATTCTGAGAACGACGAGTTGTTGCAAGTAGCGTTGGTACTCTGTATTGATAATAATTAGACTGTAGTGTTGGATCGGTGAATGTAGGACTGGGCCCTTAGCTATGCTTCACATATTGGACACCGACATTCCTTAGCTCATGTGCATGTATAGTTAACAATGAAGCTCGACCATTGACCGATGCACGAAAAACATCTGACCCTGTTTTCAAACTGGCTCGGGCCAAATGCCCAGCCTGAAGCAAGCCGGTGCCGTACCATTGAACGCACACTTGACAGGTCGGTTGATCTTTTCTTGTCCTTGCAGCTCCAATCGGTAGCTCCGAAAGGCTCCCTCGTAGGCAAATTTGGATACCCCTAACCACTAGCTCGTGATTCGTATCGCCACTTACTCCCACCACCTGACAGGGGGTCCCTTCAGGAAACTGGTCATTCAGATACCTTTCCCAGGTGCCTGCTGTTTGTGGCTCCCCAAGTTGAGCATAGAACTTGCGAGGTCCCCTTTTTTGAGCATAGAACTTGAGCCAGCCAGGGTCTCCGATTGGTTTTGAAAGGGTCACCCAAACCAGTGGATTTTCACTCGGAAAAGATGGGATACCTTTTTTTGGTCGTTGAATTTAAGTGGACCCCGCTGCAAGACAAACAACTGGAAGCAAGGAACTCCACCACGTGTCTGAGATCGTGATTCTCGCCCGCTTGGTTTTCTTCAGCCATCGGAGCTCGCGCTATGCGTCTTCCACACTGTGTTTCCAGGTGGAAATTAGAGGCTGAGTGAAACAGGGTGAACGGGTGGAACTTTCACTAATATCTACACCTTGACAGCGCGGAGGATAAAAGAAGGAGCTTTGAAAGTAAACCACAGGGTTCAATCTCAGAAATGCACGTGGGTTTCTCTCTTAGTTTCCCCTTGAATCCCAAAACCAGGCTGCCCTCAACCGAGACCCAGGTTGAGAAGTTGGTCCATGCGCTTCTGCCGGCTGCCAATAGGGCTAAGCGTCAGCTGGCAAAGTCCTGCAAAGACTCGAGCTTAGAGATTCCAGCTTTTCGGAGCCAACCTGCCCAAAATCACACGTCCTCCGAACCCACTGAGACCAAAGGCTTTGGGAGGTGTCACATGGCCAAAACGTGTTTTTTGCCGGGCCCATATGCTTTCCCTGCGATATGCACCCCGCTCCTCACGGAGGGGCTCAAGCTCCGTCAACATGATGTCTCCTCGTGCGGGTAGGCTAAGTGGCCTAACATGTCACCCTGCAAGAGTTGAAAGGCGACAACCTCAGAAAGCTGAGAAAGGGGTCTCGGGGTATCTGTGATGGTTGTCCAGTTTACAGGTGCATCCAAAAGCCTTGGGAGCCTTTTTGGAGGCAATTTGGGGGGTCCGAATTGGGCCGCAGTAGTGTTGAGTCCTCGTTGGTCCTTGTCGGTTCTCTCAGCACTGATGTAGTATTGCTTGGTACTGAGCAGTCGAGTCCTGCTTTAGCGTTGGGATCTTATTGGTTCAATGTTGCTTTGGATCTTACCGCCCGCTTCACAATTTGTTTGGGTGGCCGGCTGTTTTAGTAAAGGATGTCATGTGGGCGTGCTTTTCTTTAAAGGGACGCCAACATGGTTTTCGGTTTTCCTGCTTTCCTGTTAAAACCAACAAACAAGACAACTCGAAGAAAAAAGACCAACAACAAAAACAAGCACCAATCTGGATTTTGGCCGGCTACCTTGCGCCTCTTTCGTTTGGCCGGGCCACTCGGCCAGGCCACTCGGCATCTGTTCATGTGTCCTTTTGGTGGAACATCGATGGCTCTTGGTCGGTTGTGACGCAGCTTTTGGCCAACGAGGGCCATCGATGTTCGAAACCACCATGGGTGATGGCCTGCTACTCTCCAGGGGATCCCCCTCCGAAACAAGAACGCGCACCACAAGTCGCGCCAAGGCAGAAATACCAAAGGCTTGCTTTAGCGAAAGTGCAAGGGATCCTGGACCTTCCCAGCTCAGAAAGGGACCCGGGAGCCTTGCTACAAGTTGCTAGCTGACGGGCCTCATCGACCGCTGTTCCAACACTTGCATACTTCCACTGGCGGCGTTTTCGTCCCATGGCAAAATATGAATATGTCCAGTGGTCCTAGATTTTCTTTGAAATCAACAGTGGGAAAAGGGACAGTCCATGATCCCCTAGGGGGACAAAGAAAAGGACATACTCTTAAGGGAATGGAAGCATGCTCACGCTGGCAAATGCGCGGCTTCCTCGCGCGCCTGTGCCGCTACCACCCCTCCGGTCCTTGGTCTTGCGGCCTGGGTTGGCAAAGCTGCGGCTGAACAAATGTCCCGACAAGTGCTTGCTGCACAGCTCAGGGGTCCGCAACGAGGGGATGTAGTTCACAGCGTGTGAAACAAAAAAACAAACGTGTGCAATCAAGCAGTCATCTGGCCTGCGTGGACAAGACCCACATGATTTCGGCCATGGGCAACCTAAGCCAGCAATGGCTCAGCGCACCTCCAGCCATCTTCGAAGCGGTGGCTAGCCTGGCGACAGCCGGAAATCGAAACATGGCTCCAGCTTCTCTGCTTGGCTGCGGAAGTCTGACATGCGAGCGAGGGACAGAGGTACTTATGGGTGTGTCTTTCGTTGAGGGTACCTCTTTTTGCTTGGCTTTGAATGGGAACCAAAAGGAAACGAGCCATTTTGGTGTACCCCTATCCACACCCAGGGAAATTAAAAAAGCGGCTTCCTATTCTGATCCTTGCGGTGGTCGACACGAGCGGTTTCTCACAGGAGACCCACATTTTTGGGCAACCGGGTGCAGGGCCCGGGCCCTTTTCGACCTTGTGAATGCGCAGGTTTTGGAGGTTCCAGTTGAGTTCCTTGGAACAAGCGCCCAAGGTTTTGAGGTTTCAGGTTGAGGCCTTTTGTCGACCTTGGAAACTGGTTGCGGTTAGTTGGAGGGCATGGGCGGGCCATCAAAAATACCTGCAAACCGAGCAGGGTACTTTGAAACCAAATCAATCTAGGCTCACAACGTGATAAGGTGTCGAATTTCTTGGCCGTCTTTATCTGTCAATATCAAGACCCAAAGGCAGACAAGCAAATCAACAAGCAGCCATGAGGTGCAAAAATGGCTTTGCTTGCCGCAAGCTTCCAGCAGCTACTAATCAAGGGCAGTTGCAGTCGCGGTTTTGGAGATAAGGATGCTATGTACGACTTATATGCGGGGTATATACTGCAACCATACCTCCAAAAGCTTTCTCTGAAACTGCGATTAAGCCAAATAATGATTGACCCAATTGAGATGATGAACTTCCTTAGGTGAATCCTGCGGTTATCTTGACTCGCATTATAATGGTTGGACCGCCAGGGTAGTCTTCCATGTTTTTGTTTTGTTTTCCTCTTTTTTTTAATAAACAATATTTTTCCGGTAGTCAAAGATTGCCTTGAAAACCAACAGGGGAACATAAAACATCGTCTTATAAGCAAATGGGCTTGTTTAAACATAGGGTTCCCCCCCAAACAAAGGAGCATGTGTTTTTCCTGTGTCCTCCCTTTTCAACCACCCAAGAAAGGGTCACACCGTCCATGCTTCGATTTGGGAATCCCTAAGTGGGGAAGGTACAAGGGGGTGGGTAGTTGATAGTGCCAGGGTTCCTCAGGGCTGCTTAGGGGTTCCTTCTGGTTTTCCCTTGGGGCAGTCTCCCCCCTTCAAGGGACCACCCCCCCCTCAAAACCCCCCCCCTCAGAGCCCCCCGCTCAAAAGGGGGTCTCCAGAGGAAACGCCAACGCTTCGAGGTCCCCGGCATCTCGCCGGCTGGCAGACTCGCGCAAAGACACGCTCAAGGATTCGCCTGGCGCAAAGAGCGGAGCGGTTTTCAGGTTTCCGGCACGCGCGTGCGCGTGAAAATGACGGGTGAAGATCTCCAAATGGGCTTGCGTGGAAATGTTGAGGGACTCCAGAAGTAGGGAAACCCAAAGGGAATCACTTGTAGGGGTCTCTCATTTGGGTGTGTGTCAAAACAGGTGGAACCCTAAAAAGTGGATTGTTCGTTTGGCTTTCCTTTGAAGCAAGGTGAAAGGGGTCCATTTCGCTTCCTTTTCATCACCTCTTAAAGGATTAAAGAGATCTCTCAAAGAGATATGTTTGAGGGTATCCTTTTGGAAGTGTGTTAAAGCCAAGTCAAAGGGAACACCCATCTGGGAGCGCCCGTTTGGTAAGACATGCTGCCCATGCTTCATGGCTGATGACAACTTCACCCGAATTGCCTGCTTGCACTTTCCGCAGAAAACGCCCGGCTGTTTCTTTGTATATCTTTCCAAGATGCGACTGCTCTCCGCACTTCCATGCTGAACCACGGAGCGAGGGTCTTGATGGAAAAAGATCCAGGGGCTCCAAACCCAGCCGTGAACCTGCGAGTCCTCAGGAAAATACATAATACATAGAAACATATATATATATAATATATACTCGGTTGCGAAATCTGCTCCCCTGCTAAAAGTGACTAACTTTTGGTGGTTTAATACGGAAAACCCATGAGTTGGCAAAAAGTTCTCAAGTCCTAACAGCCAAGCAAAATGCACCAAAGTATATATCCAGTAGTGATAGATTCCCTTTGAAAACCATAAGCTGACCTCAGCTTCCCAGGCGGCCAAAAACTTAGAGCGGCCCTTCCCGCAATTCACCCGCCTAAAGGTGCAAATAGGGCTTCTGCAGAATGCCTGGCCTATTGTGGCTTCATTGAATTGGGAGACAATGCAAATCATGTGCCCTGTTTCGCCCTCAACAAATCAACAAGTAGTAAAACAAAAGGCAACGAGCAATCTCTTGAAGCCTTGCTCTGCAAAAGGGTGTTTCTGGAATGCTACCCGGCCGGCCCCATATTGAAGCACTACCCAATCTCATTCAAACATGGCCCCAACTATGCTGCACATCAACCAACAGGGAACCACTTTTCCGCGGAACCTTGTCACTCAGGCCAAGACCGCGGGGTGAGTCTCTGATCGCGCAGAACGAGCCTCGCCTCCCATCTTTCCGAGAACCCGGATCTGAATCTCCTCCTCTCGCTCGTCCTGCTACCAAGTTGGAAAAAAACATGAAGTGGATCTGTCGGTTTGTTTGAGGCTCGGTACCTTTTGTGTTTCGCTGGTTTAATTTACAAAAAAACAGGAAGAACCACATTGGTGGGTTGCGAACAAACACACTCCACCCGGCAAGAAACAGAAAAAAAACCACAGATTCAGCGGATGGCAGGGGGCTCAGAAACCCATCGGGTGGACCGGCCAAAAAAAAACCGAGCTGTGTTTTTACCACGAAAATGGGTCCAAATACCCCAAAAAGTGACTATATAAATCCGTGAGCTCGGTATGGTGAGGTTCTTTTCTGGCGGTGTCCGTTGAAAGGATCACCACTTTTGCAGGATCCACCCGGGGAAATACCTCGGACCCCCTGTGTTCTGTTTTCCAGAGCATTGATCTCCCGCAACCATTTGGCTCAAGGCCCCTTTTGCAGAATCACGATCATCCGAGCGTGTAGACAAAAGAGCCATTGCAGGCCGCTTACAGCCACCAGGGACAATCCATCCTCCAATCATCCATTACTGGCATATTGGACTCTCTCCGGAATAGATCCAGGGACCAACAACAATAGACCTCTACTACCACACGGTACCAGTTCCCTTCTGGGATAGGCACCTGGGGCAGTGGGCCTCAATTCGTGGTAGCGGAGCGGGTTTTCCGCAGAGATCCAAGGGAAGATGTCATCCGATGGAGAAGGCTTCATGGAAGCCTATTCAAGCATGGCTAAGCCAAGCTATACGGAGGAGACACTCAATTTATCGATGACCGCCAAGCAGCCGCCATCGTACGACGGAAAAGTCAGCTGGTTCAGGTACGAGGAACTCGTGGATGATTGGGTGACAATCACCACAGTAGAAGCATCCAAGCGAGGTCCATTGCTTGAGGGCAGACTCACCGGAGATGCTTACATGTACCAAGCAGTCCTCCAGAATGATCAATTGCAAGATCCTGATGAAGGAGTCAACTACTTCAAGAACACGCTGAAGAAGTACTTTTTGAAAGGTGCGACCAACGTGTATCTCAGTTTCTTCAACCATCGGAGGCAGAACCAAGAGTTCCTCATCTTTACCTCAAAATTTGAGATCCTTCTTATGCGTTTGAAGGCAGCATGGATGGACTTGATGCCAATTTTTACGGCACAGTCCCTATCATTTCGACAGTCCGTACAGGACGCAAATGCAAGAACAATTGCTCGACATCAGCAAGCAGCCGGTGTTCGAGCACCGCCTCCAGCCCTGCTAAATGAGGACGATCCGACAGTTCTCAGACAGTACATCCAAGGAATGCAGGACAGACAGCGGGACGCATTTCCCTTCGGGGATAATCTCATTGCACAGTTTTTCATCATTCAAAGTGACCTGTCAGATCAGCAGAGAGAAAGACTCACAAGTGCAATGTCATTAAGAAACATCTCACTAGAGAATTATTCCTATGAGATGCTGAAGACGCATTACCATGAACTCTTCATCACGACAAGGACATCGATCCAAGATCCATCCATCCGACCTCAAGGAGGCAGCCGAAGCAACACGTTCTTCATCATCGAGCAAGGTGAATACGAAGGCGAAGAAGGCTTCTGGGTTGAGGATGAAGAAGGACTTGAAGGATTCATGTCAAACAACGATGAAGAGGCGTTCTGGGTCCTCGAGGAGAACGATGCGTTCATAGCAAGAAAAGTGTCGGGGCGGAACTTCAAGTTCAAGAAGAGAAAAGGAAAAGGAAAATCAGGAAGCAAAAAGGGCAGTCACCAATGGAAACAAAGGTTATCCATCCTATGAGAATGGCAAAGGAAAAGGCGGACAGGAAAAAGGTAAATCCAAGACGTTCGCAGCCACAGCAGAGAAGACGGAGGAGCAGCCCGCCATCCGGCAGACTGCACCATCCATAGAGCCTACCTATGCCGGTTGGACAGACCAAGACTGGGATCAATCATGGACATGGAACGAACATGGCTGGTACTCATCCCATGAGACACCCAGCACCGGACAAGCGTTAATGGCATTCCATGATGCCGACGTCCTTGAAAAGGGAACTGTACCGATCCTTCTCAGCATCAGCCAGATGCACAACCTCTACATGACCATCGAGCACACACCTCAATGTGACAAGATCACATGCAAGGCTTTTGGCATGAACCGTCAAGCAGTTCCAGTATCCGGTACAGGACATGCACTCGTCGATCTCGCTGGAGTTGCAAGAGTGAAGGCACATGGAGAAATTGCTCGCCAAGGCCTCATCAACTATGTCTATGACGATGATAACAGCATCAAGCTTCCCTCCGGGGATCTCACCAAGAGTGAAACTGTTTGTGCAGCAAAATCATCCGAGACAAAGGAGGACCTAGCAACTCCTAAGATCATTGGGTCTCAAAAGCAGGACCATTGGATCCTTGACAAGAAGAACAAGCAGCTCATCCGTGTGCGCATCATGCCTCGAAAGGCGTTGTTCACACCAAATGGAGCCAAGGAATGTCCAATCAATCCTGATCGCATCAGCCGAGAGCGTACTACGGAAATCATTGATGCATCCGCAGGCGGAGATCCAGACATCCTAGAAGACAATTGGAGACTTACGTCCCAGGCAAACAAACCGAAAATCAACCTGTGGACAGGTAAGACCATTTTCACCTTCGCGGATAATTCGCTTAAGGACGAAGAAGCAGGTTCCGGATCGGCAGCAGACAGGATCATCGACAAGAGGGGCCGGTCGACTATTGAGCCAGATCCCTTCGCACCATCCTCAGAAGAACCAACATCGCTTCCGCTTGCCCTAGGCAGAATCCACAAGCGATTGTCAAATCCCGAAGAGTTGAAGAAGCTCCACCTGCAGCATCATCACATGACGACAGATCAATTTCGATTTAGAACCCGAGCACTTCGTTTGCCGAAATCAACATTCGATCTATTTGACAAAATCCGAAGTGAGTGTGAAGTTTGCCAAGCGGCAAAACATGCACCATCACGAAGCAAGACGAGTGGACTTCGAGCGGACACCTTTGGTGACATGACATTCATTGATCACTGTCAGGTTCCTCTTGGAACGGGAGAACACATCATTGTCTTTGTCATCCTGGATGGAGCAACAACATTGCTCACTGCAGAGGCAGTGACAACTACGCAAGAAGTCGAGAACATCACTGTCCTCAGGAACTATTTTGACCAGTACCACTTGCAGCCCAAAACAGTTGTCGCAGATCAGGCCTTCATGACAGATACGTGGGAACATTTCTATCAGTCCCTTGACATCACTCCGATATCCTTGGGACCGAATACACCATGGCCAAATCGAGCTGAAGCAGCAGTTCGACTCCTGAAGGCACAACTCAAGATCATGCTAAATTCCATCAAGGCAGGCACAGCACCTGCTACACTGAAGAAGGTGACATACAGGCAACTTGTGAAGGCCGCTGCAACTGTCAGAAATCAGACCGTCACCTACGGGGGTGTAACTCCATTGGAACTCGCATTCGGGAGAAGACCAGCAGATCTCATCCAACTTGATGTCGCAACTCCAACACAGTTGACGATTGACAGGAATGAAGAAGAGCTGACAGCTATCCAGATCAAGCAGCTGTCCAAGCAAGCTTTCCAAGAAGCACGTCAATCCGAGGACATCCGGCGAGACCTTGCTCAAAATCTCCGAATGAGTTCAAAGCCTCTTCAGGTGAAGGACAAAGTATTCCACTGGCAGGAAGACAAATCCAAGATTCGTTCCGATGGAAGCAAGGGAGGAATATGGCTAAAAGGAAAAGTCATTTCCATTGAAGGAGCGATGGTAGGACTTGATCTTGGGACTCGACTCATCAAGGTTAACATGACGAAGCTCAGGAAGGATGAAACCATCCCTCCGGGGAAACCCAGAATTGATCTTCTGTTACCGGAAGAGCGAGAATCCTTGCAGAAAGATTCCAAGAAAAAGGAATCATCCGCACCAGCTCCTAAGCCAAGATCCTCAGTGCCATTACGTATCGCGGGAAAAACAACTCCAAAACCTGCAGTACCTCATCCAGCAGAGAACATGTTTGTCGAGGACCTCACATCCATTCCTGAACAAGCACATTGGAATTGTGTACGTAAGGGAAAGATCCACGTTCTCGAGATCTTTGCAGGAAGTGCCAGATTTAGTCAATGCTGTGCACTCTCAGGTCTTAAGGTTGGGACTCCCGTGGACATCCGCACAGGATTTGATGCAATGACATCCAAGGGACGACACATGGTTATGGAGATCATCAGGGAACAAGCACCTGATGTCATCCTCATGGCACCGGTCTGTGGACCGTGGTCAAACATGCAGAACATCCAGCAAGACCAACAGAAAGTTGGAGAGAAGCGAAAACGCTACCTTCCCATGGTTGAATTTGTGGCATCCATTGCGCGGTATCAGTTGAAGCACAGAAGATACTTCATCATCGAAGAAGATACTTCATCATCGAAAATCCTCAGACACCCAGGATATGGTATCTGAAATGTATGCAGCAATTGTTTTCAGATCCATCCGTGACCTGGGGAGATTTCCATTTCTGTGCATACGGACTCAATGATCCTGAATCCGGCCTCAGAAGTCTCAAGCCCACGAGCTTGATGCACTGTTTACCTTCCGAGGTGATGAGACCGATCTTCAGAAGGTGTAAGAATTTTTCCAGCTCAGTCAAGCATGAACACCAACCCCTAGAGGGAAACGCTGGTACCTTCGGAAGCAGGACTAAACTGGCACAGGTGTATCCTTACCAGTTCTGTCAGGATCTCGCGCACATCCTCCTGCGACATTTGCAGGTGAAACCGCTTGACAATGAGGTGTACCTCTTGGAGGACCTTTTTGAACCATTCACCATCAAGCAGGTTGATATCCTGAGAAAGGGGATGGAAGCCATTGACAAGGAGTTCAACATGACCAGCAGCAGTCTTGCAGTCAGAATCCAAGACCTGCCGTTCAACAAGGACGTTCAACCATTGGTCATCCAAGATCCGCTAGTCCAGAAATTCCAGAAGACGATG